TGAGTGGCAGAAAGGAAATGCGACGAGCGCCCCCGGGAGGAGGGATGCGAGGAGTCCAAGGCGCCCTGGCGTGGTAGAGATGCTGAAGGAGCAACTGCGGCAGCCCCAGATGAAGGTGCGGGAGGCAGGGGAGAAGGTGCAGAAGAGGCTGCGGAGACTGGTGGGAGAAGCCGGCAACCAGGTGTCCCTGGTGGGGCAGGTAGCTGGGGAGGTGCTAGGTGCCGGTGTGGTCGCCGCTGGCCACGCTGGAGACACACTCCTTCAGGTGAGACGGGCCTCTCAAGTGCTCTGCTGCCTCCACTCTTGCATCTCCTCTACGTTCATTGCCTCGCTCGCTTCCATATCCTGCTCACTCCTATGGTTTTGATCTCCTTCCCCCGCGCATGTCCAGTTTATACTCGTGTCCATAACTGTGCCAACTTACTAGGCGTCCTGCATGTTCTTCATAGCGTCCCTGTGTGTGTCCGTGTGCCCTAACCTAACTTACCAGTCCCACAACACTACACTCGTATAGTGCTCTGATGAGAGAATATCTTGCCACACATCTCGCGCCTCCACACACTACAGTAACACTATACTCCGCGTTAAACACACGCCACACTATTCACACTTTTCATACCCCCATGACATAAATGAGTGTGGAATGAATTCACGGCTCCAGCACTAGGCGCCAGACCTAATTCTAACCGAGCACTCTGCATGCCTTATTATACTACACCTTGACACACTGTGTAACCCTCAGTGTAGCGAGGGGCAGCAACACAAACGTACATGTACGGAAATGTGATAAAAAAACGGTGTTGATCATAGTTGTTGGGGGGATGGTATCCCACCACGTACACAACGTTAATTTTACGGTGCAGTAGAGCAGTGTTGCTACACCCTTATGTGACGTGGCGTAGTAGAGTATTGTAGTTGTTTATTGTGTACCCCCACAGTACACAATAAACACCCTACCTCTCACTGTAGGTACACGGTAGGAATACTATACACCTCAACTCCCACTGGGCATTACATTACTTGATTTTATCTTCTATTGTGAATAATTTGTTAATGACCTTGTTAAAGCGTGTCGTATTTTCAAACAAATCTTTGATCGTTCTGTTATATAATTAAATCTGCCATTCTTGTGCTCTTTCTCCAATACCAATTCGGCTAAACTAAACTATCACACTTCATTAATATCAAGATCAAGTGTCTACCACCATTCGTATGTCTATACCAGTCATCCCTGAACACTGCACAATACTAACATTGTTCCCGAAACTTTCCATCCAAATTGTCATCTTAATGCTGTCTTAACCCCGACCGTCCAAATAGTTGGGCACCATTCCCCCCCCCCCCCCGTCCCATCCCAAATCCTTATCCTGATCCCTTTTAAGTCCTATATCGTCGCAATGGCTTGTCGCTTTTTCCCTGATAGTTTCCTTCCCTTGATGCTGTCACCATAAAATCCTATAATAATATTTAAATATGATCCAATTGCTTTGTAGACCCTTGTGTAAATTCGCTCGCTTAGTTGCATGGGAGGCTAGCCACAAAACCCATATTATCAACTGTGATCAAACTTGACCTAATATCACACATCCCCTAGACCAGTGTGCACCATACCCTAACCAAATGCAATATATACCCTTGCCTAACCAAAATATAACCAAAGCTAAACCATAGAACATTGCCTGACTGAAACGAGAACGTAGCCTAACCTAAAATAAATCGTGGATAGTCCAGTCCTCGTGTGAAGATATATATGGGGGTATAAGGCGCGTGACTAGCCTCGCAGCAAGCTACTAACCCGCCTGTGTTTTGGCTTTGGTGCTACGGCAGACTATGGCTAGCCAGGGCGCTCACCGCTCCCACCAGACACGCACCTTCGCCGGCGGCCTCCAGCTCACCGTCCCTCACCAGGACCACGTTACTCACCACAGGGTAGGTCCTGGCTCCTCACCACAGGGTAGGTCCTTGCTCCTCGCCACAGGGTAGGTCCTTGCTCCTCACCACAGGGTAGGTCCTTGCTCCTCGCCACAGGGTAGGTCCTTGCTCCTCGCCACAGGGTAGGTCCTTGCTCCTCGCCACAGGGTAGGTCCTTGCTCCTCGCCACAGGGTAGGTCCTTGCTCCTCGCCACAGGGTAGGTCCTTGCTCCTCGCCACAGGGTAGGTCCTTGCTCCTCGCCACAGGGTAGGTCCTTGCTCCTCGCCACAGGGTAGGTCCTTGCTCCTCGCCACAGGGTAGGTCCTTGCTCCTCGCCACAGGGTAGGTCCTTGCTCCTCGCCACAGGGTAGGTCCTTGCTCCTCACCACAGGGTAGGTCCTTGCTCCTCACCACAGGGTAGGTCCTTGCTCCTCACCACAGGGTAGGTCCTTGCTCCTCACCACAGGGTAGGTCCTTGCTCCTCACCACAGGGTAGGTCCTTGCTCCTCGCCACAGGGTAAGTCGTCAAGAGGGATGCTGCAGACATCAGAGGGGGCTGCAACCCCCATCCCTTCTCTGATGACCACCTCCTAATAGAGCGTCGGTATTTTGACGCATACTTAACCAAAGGTCACAAATTTTAGCGGCTCGCAAAATTGACATACTGTCCCGTTTTCTGTTTTGGGTTCTCTGATACGATAGGATAAGCGCACATTAATACGACAGTTTCTTGACGTTGGGAAACCTTAGGAGGACGAGTTGGGGAAATAACGTCTGCTTTCACCTCAAAGTTTATGCACAGTGTACAGCCTCACCTGGATTTTTGGGGAGACTTGTCTAATTCTGTTAGTGATCCAAGAGTCTGTGAAATGGTTAGACACAATTCATTGCCAGAGTTTGTGTGTAAACAGTGTATAGTTATTGTACATCGAAATGTGTGGCTACAGTATATCTATAGTGGCCTCGGCGGGACAGGAAGCCGGCGGCTAGTACTACCGAGGGGTACCGGTAGTACAGTTGGGCTCGTTCTTCACTCTCAATCAGGGATCCCGGATTCAAATCTCTGGCGGGGCAGAAATGGTTTGGCAAATTTTCTTTTACCTAATGACGCTGTTCACCTAGCAGTAAATAGGTACCCGGGAGTTAGGAAGTTTGTGGTTCCCAATATTGGCTTTAGTAACAAACGTGTCCCAGAGAAGAGGAACTGCACGTATCCCAACAAAGAACTAAACTATGTTACTATTTTGTTGCATTTTATATACTAAATTTCTCACAAAACCACCTAGAGCTGCATCTAGTCAGTATTTTGACCCAACCACTTGGGCTGGACGGTAGAGCGACGGTCTGGCTTCATGCAAGTCGGCGTTCAGTCCCCGACCGTCCAAGTGGTTGGGCACCATTCCTTTCCCCCGTCCCATCCCAAATCCTTATCCTGACCCCTTCCAAGTGCTATATAGTCGTTAATGGCTTGGCGTTTTCTCCCGATAGCTCTCTTCTCTTCAGTATTTTGATGCAGGCTTAAAATGGTTATGCATATTTAATGTGGTGTGTGTGTTTTAATGTATATAAATCGGCGCTGGATGTCACTATGTTCACACGTTGATGTTTCTTGCAGTTTGGGGTGCGCTTCAACTGGTCTTCCAGCCCTCCAGGCGGTCTGCTGCCCGTAGTTGGTTTGGGTATCGACTCTGACGTCGTGGCCAAGGAACTCCCTCCAGGCCGTGATCCCCCACCCGCCTTCCTTGGCCCTTATACCCATTCAGACACTTACTATTACGAACTCCCCGTACACCCAGGGCCTCCATCACATCTCCCTTTCTACCAAGAGGGCCCTCCACATCGATCTGCATACCATGGAGGACCTTCACACCTGCCAGTATACCATGAGGACTCGCCGTATCCGACCATCCATCGCGAAGGACCTCAGCGTCCACAACACCCACCTATCTACCCTGGCACTGCAACACACTCACAGATTCACGACGACTTTTTCAGCGACAACCTCGGCAACGGTGCCAACAGGGAGCTCGGTATCTCTCCCAGCTTCATCTCCAAGGAGCCGCATCTCGACAGCTTCGAAATAGAAGACTTTGGCCCCCAAAATCACCACCACCCCCAACAGATTAAGCCCAACAATCTTTCCCACCGTCAGTATCGACCACCATGCTGGAAGCGCAGATTAGAACCTGGTTACTCCAATCGGCGAGTTTTCCGCCCTGGTCCTCAGCCCTACATACCTTGTGGCCCTCCAGGGACCCGGTTTCCTTCTCAGCAGGGTGTCACTTCGTCACGGGACCATAATATCTATTTCAACAAGCACCCAAACAGCAGCCATCACAGGCTACCAAAACATAACAGGGACGTCAAGGCTCGCATACAAGACTCATCATATCCCCTGAACAATTATTCTCTCAGATCTAATCCACCCCACGAAGGAAACTCCTCACAGCATCAGAGATCAAAGGAGGCTCCTGGAAACGAATTATTTTTCCCTGTCCTAAAACCAGCAGGACTAAACATTGAGGCTCAGCTGAACCCCTACGACAGTGTGGAGAGTTTCAGGGCATCCATCATACAGAAGGAACAGGATCTCGATGTTCTTGACATCATAAGTCGCGAAAACCAACAACTTTATTTTGATGAAGTCATAATCCTTGGCAGAGACGAAGCCAACGAGGGATAAACAACAGTTACTCCAGACATTTATGACGTGAAACATGTAAAAACAAAATATACTTAAGGGTTCGTACCTTGAAAGTTAACATATTGCGAGTTATATGTATATAATTAGTTAATCTTATGTTTATATGTAAAATATTTAAATAATATACACTTAGCTTTGTAAAGAATACTGTTGTATATACTCTAGAGCAGCCTTGTCAGCCAGTCTAGGTGTTATATCTACCCCCTGTACTAGTCCAAACACTTAGTCGTTGTTATATGTAGGAATGACTTGAGACATCCAACAATAGCCGCAAACATCGTTTAAATCAATATGCCAACTAAAAAAAAAAATTGATTTCCGTAGTACTGGTTCGATCCAGGACAGTTAATTTGTTTGAGAAACATTTCAACATAGTTGAGTAATCTCACCACTCAAGATGATAATGACTGTGAAATCACCCTTGTCTTCAGGGTCATTCCTCATACTTTCAATTGATTTCTTTGCTCTTGATTTTTGTGTACAATTTGTAGACACCAAATTAGGGTAGTTCGTGTAAATAACTGGGCGTTACTGTGGTGTTAGATTTGGAGCAGGTTTCTCCATTAGTGATTTGTTTAGCAATTATTTTAGTATAAATCTTGTTGATTGTAGATACCACAAATGTGCTAATTTAGCCAAGAGGAGGCTAAATTAGTTGTAACTGACTGTAAATTACAAATGGTTTAGTTTCATCTTGTATGTATCATGTAAGATGCACATATGCACCTTGCATGGCATGCAGTACATGTGCACTTTACATGATATGCAGTACATGTACTGCATGCCATGTGCTCAGGTGTCGCATATCCCAGCTCTTGTACTTGTACCTGTGCTTGAAATATTTGTGTTGATGTGACTTGACACCTATCAATCTTTGGAGGCTTATTAAGGCCACCAGAATGACTGACCGACCAAGCAGTGAGTATACCTTAGTCCTGAACATTGTCCAGGACTAAGGTATACTGCATACATTTACCGAGAAGCAGAATACATGTTTGTGTGTATATTCTCTTAACTACTAGGAAGTACTTGATGCGCTAGCAAATTTTGACAACTAGCTCCAACGTCCTATCTTCATAGTTTTGTATAATACATTCACAAGTGTTCATGTGATAAGCATGTTTATTTTGGTATGATGATTACCGATAGTGTTAATTATTTTTAATAAACTTTAGGTATAATGGTTGTTATTGGGAGGCCTATTTACGTCTATTGAATTCTCTAAAAAGGATTGGTATTGTTTTATGAAGGTAAAGGAAAGACCCAATTTATGTTTAAAGTGTATTTAAAATCAAATTTTCGGATGTAACCTACATCCTTTCTCAAGGTGCTGTTCTACAGATACAGAAAGCATTGTATACAATACCTTAAAGGATGTCGGTTACATCCGAAAATTTGTTTTTAAAACACTTAAAACATAAATTGGGTCTTTTCTTCACCCTCATTCAAGCACTACGGCATTGTAGTAAGTTTCTCCATTGTTTATATTTTTTATCAAATTGTACATTTCAGCCCAATTTAACATTTTAATCCCGAAAATGGAACAAAATGCAAAACTAGTCAGCTTGTAAAGCCTATTTTTTTTTCATTATTTAAGAAAATACAATATAAATCACATATACATAAGCCTATTCCGGCGTTGAACAATCTTCCCGGCTTGGTGCCTGGTTATGGCAATTACTAACAACATTTTTGATAATTACTTCCTACATTTGTTGCTTCCTATAATCACATAAGGCTGGCAGCTACGTAAAGTAATTGTAATCTCTATTAATATCAATTCATCTTATGAAAACAGTTAACTAATGAGTTTTGGCTTAGTTGATTAGTTGTGTTTACAATATAAAACTAAGTAAATGATCTCGTCTCCAGTCATTGCTTCGAAAATGGTCAGGGGGGGGGGGAGCTTCACAGATAAAATATCGACAAATTTATACTATCATTTGAATACGTTGTGAACCAGACAGTCCTTTATTTTCATGTTACGCTGCTATAAAAAAACCCAGCTTCAATGACCTTGTAATAAAGAGAGTATATAAAGGAAAATTTCATGCGCGGATTGGTAAACACAAGCTGACCACCGCGCATGCGCAGTTTGGTGCTTAAGGCAGTGTGTTGTGGGGCGCTGACCACCTGTGACAGGTCACAGGTGGTCAGCCCCACACCACAGGTCACAGGCGTCCCAGGTTGTGTGTGGGGGGCTGACCGTCTGTGAACTGCGAGGTTGCTGCTGTTTGTTAACAACGGAAAGAACCTAAGAAATTGGAAGTGAGGGAATAAGGAGTGAGAGAGACCTGCCCTCACTCCCCCCGAGCAAGCGGACACAGCAAATTTGGTAAGTTATATTTTAATGTAGCTTTACTGTATGTCAACACGCCAGCAGGTTGATGTATACTTATTACCAACGTTAATTAGCCGATATTTGACTTGCACGTCTGACGACCAACTGAATGGATGATTAAGATCATCTGGGGCATTGGAGATATGAAATAAATACTGGCAAGGGTGTTCGATGAGGTGTATATTTGCTATTATGGTGGTATTAATAACCCTCCAGAGGCTGATAGGCCTTAATAACCAATACTAAACACGTCAACATTGCTTTATTGTGTTGACTAGACTTTGTGAGTCAATGGTATCGATCCTGGTCCTGTGTGCGCTGTGATAAGATACTGATTCTGGTCCTATGTATAATCACTGCTGTAAAACTATTCGTGACCGCAACTTGCGTTCCAGCAATTTTAGCCAGGCTCCAACAAAACGGTTTACTCTAGCGCTAGGATAAACGTTATAAATGAAGAGTGAAAGCATACATAAAATTTTCTTTAATCAAAATGTCAGCAACATTAATAATATATATGATGGATAATCATCCATGGAAATTTATCTAACAAAACACTTTTTGTTATTAACACATTTAGGTACATCTGCTTTTGTGCAGCTACCCTAAACTATATGAAGTACAGTGTCAAAAAGCTAGCTACGTGGTGCTAAAAATCTCCATCACACAGGATGGTTAGTAATACAGAGGCATGTGATAAGTAGTCTGCACTGGCAGACTCTTGTGTTCATGATATCCTCATAATGCACCCAGAGTGAATAACGTACTAGTGATACAGTCTCCATCTCGCAGGATAGTTAGTCATAGAGGGCCTAACCTGCACTCAAATTTTCAGTAGCCTGGACTGGCAAATTTTGGGTGCAATATGAGGTTATCCTCAAGAACTCTAGAGTGAATAAAGTAATTGCAAAGCTCCAGGTACTTCATGCCAATGGGTCTTAATGGTCTGATAACTGGGCATTCGGTGATGTAGTGTGGGAGATCATGCCGCAGTTCCTGCTCAAAGTTTGCACCTGGAGAGCTCAGGATTGGGAGATCTGTCACCTGTAGCCACCTGCCACAGGTAACGGTAACAATTGGGTGGTTAATGCCGACAGGAGAATTTACTAAAAAATTAATATCAAAATCTAGTCCAGCCACAAAAATATGGCATCTCCCTTAATTGAATGGTTATATAGATTGAGTAACTCTCCTGCCTGCCTATCCACACAAAAAATGTAATCGGAAAGTAGCATAATTATTGTATTCTTAATTTTCTTGCATTTTGTCAATATGAAACATTAAAAACCTCTAACTCCACTCTAATACTTAGTCCACTTAAAGCTTTAAGAGTGTCTTTAATCCAGTTTATAAGAACAACTTTCTGCTTTCAGAAATAAAATATATGCATATTATTCTCAATTTCAGTACATTGGTCACACCTATTGTTGTCCTTAATGCCCAACATCAACAACCTAGCATTAGTAGGGAGGGTCTCATGAATATAGCGATACAATAGCTCACGTTGTTTTGGGTCAATAAATTTAACATGAAGGTTTGCCCATATTACTTGCCAGCTAAAGAGTGGATATACCTCCTCTACTCTAGGAACTATATTTGGGAGTAGAATATCATACTCTTGTTTACTGTTCATCATTAAAAAACCTTCAATATTACAAATTCGCCTGAGAACATAAATTGCACATGAATAAAAGTGAGGTGAAATAAAGGCAAGGTCAGTATACTCTGGCATATGCATCAAGTAGCTGACACGTAATTTACAAAAGTAATGTCCTAGCGCATTTACACTATTCCTCTGCATTATTTCAATAGTACTCAGATGTTGTTTATTCAATAATTACTAAGAATTACCACTGTCCAATATGCGACATTCACATACACATGGTGTTCGCCTATCATACACAGGATTTACTCAGTTAAAGCCTAGTAAAGAATTCCAGATATTAATAAACCCTCAGAATATTTATTCCCCATTATCGCTGTCTAAAATACAGAGCTTGTATATATTTTGCTAACTCCTTCCTCAGAGTTATGGGGTGCGCAAGGTTGAACTGGTCGGTACTGGGGCGGCTTTGCTTCTTGCACGGTCGGACTTTCATTTCCGATCGTGCACAGTATCCAAGATTAACGTTAATTCAACGTTGAATTAGCGTTAATCTTGGATGTTGTGCCCAATGGGTGGGGAATCATTTCTTTCACTGTGCCCCTATATCCCAGCCCTTCTATATGTGTTCTTATTTAGGAAAGACTTGGGCAAATACATGTTCGGTAACAGGGTTGTTGATTTGTGGAACCAATTACCGCGTAACGTGGTTGGAGGTGGGGTCCCTCGATTGTTTCAAGCGTGGGTTCGACATGTATATGAGTGGGATTGGGTGGTTATAAATAGGAGCTGTCTCGTATGGGTCAATACGCCTTCTGCAGTTACCTTTGTTCTTATGTTCTCCTATCCTCATATTCCACCCTCTCTAACAATACATAATATTTTGTCGTAAAAATCTTCAATGCCAAAATACTATGTACTGTAAATCATAGCGGCTCGCTATAGTAACCAAGTGTCCCGTCTTCTCTTCGTGCGTCCTTTGTTAGGTTAGATTCGGTCTGGTTCAGACAATTGAATACAATTTTTTGACGCCGTTGACTACTTGAGAGGACGGGCTGGCTAGTTACCTTTCCACACCTTCCCTTGGAATGTCTCTTAATCAAATACAATGACATTTGAGCTGGCATAAGTAATTTTAGCTCATGGAAAGTTTGATGCATGGTAGATAGGTAGCAAGGCAGCCTCATCAAGGCCCAGTAATGGTTAACCTGTGGCATTACACACGCTTAAGATCTGAGAGGTGAGTGAAAGGACCTGAAGATTTTATAAAGTGTTCGCTATATCTAGCTTGATTTTATTTCGTATATATATATATAATATATATATATATATATATATATATATATATATATATATATATATATATATATGTATATATATATATATATATATATATATATATATATATATATATATATATATATATATATATATATATATATATATATATATATATATATATATATATATATATATGTCGTACCTAGTAGCCAGAACACACTTGTCAGCCTACTATGCAAGGCCCGATTTGCCTAATAAGCCAAGTTTTCATGAATTAATGTTTTTTCGACTACCTAACCTACCTAACCTAACCTAACTTTTCCGGCTACCTAACCTAACCTAACCTATAAAGATAGGTTAGGTAGGGTTGGTTAGGTTCGGTCATATATCTGCGTTAATTTTAACTCCAATAGTTATAGTAATAGTAAAAGTATATAGTATACTTTAATAAGTATACTATATAGTATACTTACCTACATAGTATATATATATAGTATAGTATATATATATAGTATAGTATATATATATATAGTATATATAGTATATATATATATAGTATATATATATAGTATATATACTATATATATATATATATATAGTATATATATATAGTATACTTAAAAAATAGTATACTCCAAAAAGTCGTTATATGTAAATTTTAGTTGCAAAGTTCTTACCAAGAATCTTTGTTTTTATTCCATTTAAATAAATTAAACATTAATGAAAACTCAAATCTTAAATATTTTTGAGCTGAAATTGTATAAAAAATAATAAAAAAAATTATAAAAAAAATTGACCTCATACATAATGAAATGGGTAGCTTTATCATTTCATAAGAAAAAAATTAGAAAAAATATATTAATTCAGGAAAACTTGGCTTATTAGGCAAATCGGGCCTTGAATAGTAGGCCAAAAAGTGAGTTCTGGCTACTAGGTACGACATATATATATATATATATATATAATATATATATATATAATATATATAATAACTACGAATTCAGCCTTACAACGCTTTT